TAAACTTCATCGTGTAAGGTTGTTGGGCTTGAAGTTGAAAGCTTAATTTTGAAGACCCCAACAAAGATTACTTTATTTTGCGACATGGCAGCAAACAATTGGCTATAGATAGCCCTGACCTATCCAAAGAATGCTAAGGTTATAATCAGGCTTTGAATTTAACTTAGATCAAGGATTGATGGATACTACCACACAGATCGGCCACTAAACCTAGGAAAAGGGACTTCAATCTCATAAACAACTCGCTTTTAGCCTTGTAAACACTTTTTAATTGTTTTTTTCAGTTTTATGATTTTATCACCATCACTGGAAATATGGAGCTGGGATGCTTAGATGAAGAGCTTGATTTGTCTCGCATTAATTACTAAAGATAGAGTCGGCCAGCATGGTTTGAATTCAGACTCAGATTGGTTGGTGTGGTTTCATGTGCATGTTGTTCTTTTCTTTGACTATGTACCAGTTTAATAAGTTGATGAAGGCTGTTCCCACCTCAATTGGAAGCTTCTATTTCTAAAGAAATATATGTGGTCATGGACCCTGTTATTATTTACAATTTCCATTAGTAGGTAAGATGTATTAAAGGGCAGTTTGATAACCTAATGTGTTTGAATTGAATGACTTATTAATTGCTTAATTGCTTTGTGCTTCTAAGGGATTAAAATAGTCATATAATAATATTTACAAGCATGGTAATCAATCCAAAGTCTCATTAGGCTATTAAAGAGTTCACAACCTACTTAATGGTTTAGTCTCTGTTTAGATCAATTTTTGTTTTTTCAGTTTTTGGGCTTCGAAAAATGAAATTGAGCCAAAAAGTGTTTTGAACATTAGGTAAGAGTTAAACCAAAGCCAAAATACTGTAGTATTGAAACCAAGCACAAAGCCTATAATTGGGGCTTTGCGCTTTGGAGCTTTAAAAACACAAATCGTGAAGCCTATCCAAACTTCACTAAGGGACAAAGTAGTAAAGTGATTTAGTTAAGGTTCAGTTGTTATCAAACAGCTCCAAACATTTTGTTTTGTGGAAGCATCACTATTTACAATTGAACGAAAATTAATCACCCCTTACTTTTTTTGAATACTAAAATTGAGAAATACAGTCAAATAAAGGCTAAAAATAAGGTGGGGAAGCAAAAACTTAATATAGACTTTGCTGTTTTGGCCTATTCATTGACAGACAAAGAAAAGTACAAAATATCGAGAATTAATGACCCAAAAAAATATAAATTAATGGTAGGATAAAAACTGATTTAACTAAACAACAGATAAAAAGTAAAAATGTCTTCAAAATATAAAATACTTTTTGTTTATCTTCCTATATATATATAGGATGAAATAATTGTCCCTTGGAATTCTTTTAAGGTTTAATATCGCAATTTATATAAGGGTTATTATCTAAAATTTCCCTTCACTTTTTCTCATTTCTCTTAAATTTATCCTCCAGACCCCACTGTTTAGATTTACACTTAGAGATGCATGGCCTTTGTAAATTTACTATACTACCCCTCTATTTGAATTTGCCATAAACAAAAAGTATTAAGAAGATGAAATTTATTATACTACCCCTCAATCTGAGACTTGGGGCTTCATCTCTTCACCCAAATGGGTTTGGGATATTTGGGTTGGAGGACGATAAAAGAAGTTTTTTTTACCTGTTTTCTTTTTTAAACAACCATTTAATTAAGATCAGAATTAATCTGGTCATTTGGAAATTAAAAATATGGGTTCGACTATGATATGGAAAAGATATGATATCCAAAAAACAATTGACCAATAAACTGGAATTATAAATGTATTAGTAAATCAGGTGTTATTCATCAAAATTCATGGGTGGGTTTTGATTAGTCAAAACTCTTTTCATATCATATCTTTCCCGTATCATAGATTTTCCCTAAAAATATTAATTAAAATAATCAATGGCATAGCTAGACAATTTCTGTTAATGGTCACTAATGGTGACGACCTCATGAAAGGTAATTAAGTTTTATATAATAAAATTTCTCTGACATAAGGATCTCTGGAGGTTTGGAAGAATCAAGATAAGTTTAACAACAATGGGTGAAGGGGAATTCTAGAACCAAATTGACGTTTCTTAAGAAAGCAAGTTGGCTAGTTTAATGGAGGCTCCAAAGGGTTTAAATTGTTAACTAGTTAATCTTCTCTCCTTGCTCACTATGCCTTAGCTCAAAAATGCTATGCTCAATAAGAGCAATAAATTAACAGTCTAGAAAAGGATCTAGACAGGGTTGGCTGCAGATGAAGTATTTGGATCTAGACTAGAAGGTCTATCATCTGATGAGCGGCAAGGTTGGCTGCAGATGTTCCTCGTTTTGATTGAAATAAGAGCAATAAATTAACAGTCTAGAAAGGGATCTAGACAGCCTAACAATTTAATATAGGGCAGCATAATTGGACGAAATGGGTTTCATTTGTTCTCTCTCCATGTTTCATGACTCAAGTTTCAGCTTAACCGGACAACAACCCTTGCTATGTCACCCACTGTGGCCCTTCTTTTAATAAAAATGCCATGGTGTAGAACTTATGAAGACTTTGGGGAAAGTGAAAATGTGACTCATGATCCAGTGGATCCCCAATTTGATAATGAAGTATTTGGATCAATAGCCATTCCAAGGGCTGAATTATTGGGGGCACAGATCCGGCTCTGAGTCTGATATGTGAACAAATCAGTGTCAAGTTCTTACCAAAGAACTTCTAGATATAGAAGATTTTTCTTATACTTATTCAACTTGTCTGGCCTCTAAACAATCTTCAAACTATATATCAGTATACTTTATAGCCATGCTTACTCTAGCCAGTTTGTTTGTTTGCAATGTGAATTTCATTTGCATTAGTGTAAATGTACGTAGGGTGTGTAAATGGGTTGAGTGTAAATTCTAGTTTAACTTTTGCTACAGATTAATTTGATTTTTGACTTGGTCTTATTTGTTTCTCAGAAATAAAGTAGGAAGTCAAATAATGTGATTCTCATTTGATGTGAATGATGATGAAGGCATAAGGAAGATTGTTTGTTTGGGAGTAAGGTACGAAGCAAAAAGATATTACTCCCCCCTTTAAATGCAAGAGAAGATTAAGGCTCAATTTAGAAAGAGTATAATATAATATAAGGTTTAGAAATATAGTATACAAGAGGAAGTGCAAATCATTGTCACAATAAAGGGATGTAAAGCTAAAACCGGTGCAAATTTTATATCCAGTTCATATTTGCACATTTGCGACCCAATTTCACTTGCATTAATACAAATGATGAGAGTGCAAATCAAAAGAGGGTAAATTCTAGTTCACTTCCACCTGGGGTTTTGGTTTCATTTTACTTCATTTACACCATAAACAAACAAGAATAAAATCAATTTAAAACAAAAATAGAACAGAATTTGCATTCAACTCATTTACATTCCCATACTTTTTGCAGAAATTGAATTGCAAACAAACTAATTCTTTGAAGAACAATTTTTTTAAAGGAGATGGAAAATAACATAATATACAAAAATATAAGTATCAGAACCACATTGTTCTTAACACCTACAAGTAAACAAATGGAAACACATTAATTCATAAATAGGATTCCAATTCAGATATTGGATTAAATCTAATTTGTATCCAGTCCGCGTGAAGTGCGACCTCATTCATATACAATCAAAAGGGAACCCTTAGAAAACTTCAGAAACGCCCCAAATTCAAATCCAAATGAAGGAACTGGCCCCACTAATGCACCGGTTTTCCGTATCCCTTTAACTCTGTTCCAATTTACTAAGCCTACACGCATTTAGACAAAAAGAACGCGACATGCCTTGACAGATTCATTCTCTCTTGAAGACAAAGAAGCTAACTGTACTTAGAGAATCAGAGTTCAAACTTGGAATTCATTGTGTGAAAGGGAACGTTCAGGGATTTGGACTATATCAGTGGGAACACTACTCTTATACCAAGAAGTCGGATAACACAACCAACACGGTTTCAAATTAAAGGAGAGTACTGCTTAATAGTTCAAATGATCAATAGATGATCAATTCCTATTTGAAGGGCAAATAGTACCCTGGAATGCGAATGAAGGGCTAGACTTCAATAAACAGACATCAAGGAAATTTGGGAATTTCTATGTTTTAATTATTTAATACCCAAAATTTCCTCCTTCCAACCCAAGAGAAAGGAAAAAAAAAACTAAAACTGTCCCCCATATATATTAATTCTTTTTTTTTTGTTCGGGGGGGGGGGAGTAAAATGATATATTGCTATTAATTCTATAACAGTAGTAATGGGATTGTAAAATATACTCAAAAAGAGTGTCTAGAAGAGGAACCAATAAAATCCCAGAAATTCTTCACAAGGTTGAGCTAGCTTCAAATCCCATTAATTCTTTGTTCTTCCTATGGACTTGGGATCTAATCCCAATCAGCATGTTGGTTAGGTCTCCTGCTGGTGATCATAGCGGAGACTTAGGATTGAATCCCACCCTGCACCGCACCTGGGTTGGGGGATGGTTGTGTTGCCCTTCAAAAGATATAAAAAAAAAAAAAAAAAAACAATGGACTTATACTCTATAAAATGATATCAAGGAAAACCAAAGGCAAATTTGAGAATTTATATATTGTAATTATTTAATATTAATCCCACCCAAGAAAAGGGGGACCTAAAACCTAGACTAATTATAAGCAATGGGTTTATACTTCAATAAACAGACATCAAAGGCAAATTTGGGAATTTCTATATTTTAACTATTTAATATCCAATTTCAACCCCCCCCCCCCCAACCCAAGAAAAAGGGGGAAAAACTAAAATTGTGACCCCATCTATAGCTATTAATTTGTAGAATATACCCAAAAAGAGTGTCTAGAACTAGAAGAAGAACCAATAAAACACCAGAAATTCTTCAGAAGGTAGAGCTTCAATTCCAATAATTCTTTGTTCTTTCTTTTCTTTTTGTCTCTATAAAAAATTGGGCAATAATATGTTTTTTGTACATAGAACTCACCAGTACTGACTAACATAAGCAATAATAATATAATTTCCCTCTCTTATACTAATAATTAAGCAATGGATTTATACATCAAAAAGGCCTTCTGAGTTCTTTGAAGTCCATTGAATCAATACATTCCAACTTTCCTCTGTAAAGATTCAACAATTTCAGTAGCTCAGTTGCCTTCTCCTTTGTTCTCTCACCACAGCCAACCTGTAAGAGCAGCAATAGCTTCTGAAATGCACCCACTTGAAGAGCCTCAACCAGAATACTCCCTTCATCAATCTTTTTATTCTTGCAAAGCTTCCAGAGAATGGAGACTGTGAACTCGGTAGCCAGGTCTGATATGCGCAGAATCTTCTTAACCAAGACTGGCATGGTTAGAGCATGGGCATAGGCTTTCTCCCTTGCCTCTTGGCAACTGCACAGACCATCGAGAACACCCAGAGCCTTCTCACAGAGGCTCTTGTCTGAATCGACCAGGATGTCTAGCAGCAACGAAATCAGATCCATATCTACAAATCTTGATCTAATTTTGTCACTGGAAACAGATGATGAAACCATCCTGTAGATGACCACCAAGGAAGCTTTTGTGGCTGTAGGGCAGATGGGCTCTTTGATTAGTTTCACCAATGCTTCGCTAGCTCCTTCAGTCCGGGCCAGGAGACTGACATGTCTCTGATCCGAAGAGAGCTCTTTCAATACCAGAACTGCATTCTGCCTTCCTGAGAGACCTCCGGACTTGGAAAACCATACCATGCAACGTAAAGGAGCTGGTAATCCTAAGTAAGATTGAGCTTCTAAATCCAGCGGAAGCATCCATGTGAGTGCAGATAAGATCTCCTCCAGCACATCGGTGTTCTTCTCGAATGAGGCCGCAGCGAAAGCCTCGAATGTTGCCGCCAGAACACGCCCCGTCCCGTTCCCCACGATGCACCGCTTATTGCGCTCGCTTTCCTTCCCCAAGTTCTTGATCTTCACCACCAATTCCTGGCACCCAGACTGATCCCCACGTCGAGCTGCATCCGTAATCCTCGAAAGAATCTGTGAGACCTCAAATGGTGTTACAGGAATTCGAGGCGTGGGTATCCTTTCAACGCCGAAAGACCGATTCTCGACGCACCAGTCCTGTATCATCTTCCGTATGGCATGATTTGGGATCTGGTCCAAGCTTCTTAACACCTGATTGGTAACCGGGCATGTTTGATTCCCAGACTCGATCCATGTCTCGATGCTCTCACGATCATAAGTGATGCCGGTGGATAACGTGACCGGATCCTTCATCAGCTCAAGCGATATGGGGCATCGGAAATGAGTCGGAATAGTGACCTCCATGTCGAGGTTGCCTTCCGGCCGCTCCTGGTTCTTACTGGCACGGCGACCGGCTCTTCGCTTTCTCCAGTTGGAAATCATTGGTACGATTAGAATATTAGAAATATAGGCTTCAAAGATCGATGCAAATTACAAACAGAATTAGGAGGAGAGACTGCTTTGTGTAGAAGATGAAGGAATGCCGTGGTCTATATATATGTTGGCTTTGCTGTACAGTTGAACGCGGTTCAAACGAGAGAGAGAGAGAGAGAGATGGGAGGTTTGAACATTGACCGTTGAAAGTTTGAAAGTGCAGGACAGAGAGTGTGTGAAGAGGAGGGTAAGAAAAAAACGGTAATAGATAAAAGAGAGATGGCTCCTGGCTGTTGGCTCCTAATTGAAATTATAAGGATTTGAATGTTTGACGTGCTGACCCTGACCGTTGCCCGTCAACGGGGCGGTGGTATGACTAGACTGACCCGGTTTTCTTCATGCTGGCCTTGGTTTTGAGTCTTGGGTGGGACTATGTTCGTTCTGTCCTCTATGGAAACGGGTCGGGTTGAAAGTAAAAGGCGACCCAGTCATTTATTAGGTGGAACTTGCTGACTAAACACTGTCAATGGGTCGGATCTGGTTTAATACAGAGTGGTCTGTCTTATTTAACCTATTATTTATCGGTTATATAAAACAGACCCAGAACCAAACCGATTATTAATCGGGATAATCGGATCTTTTTGTATTATTACTTTAATTAAAAAATGACAGTAAAATACTAAACTACTATTTATATGTTGATAAAACAGTTGTTTTTAACAAAAATTAAGCTATACATCGTATTCGATTATCTGAATTCGAATTCAATCCCATTAAGAGGGGTGATATGAATTTGATCCATTTTATACATGGATCAGATATAGATCCATCCCTATCCAATTCCATTTGATAATGTAGGTCGTATCATACCGGCACAACACAAATTAAAGGCGGCCCAAATGCCATTCGTGTCGTCCCATGCTATGCTAGGCCTCCCGTGGCCTAGTTCCCAGTCGGGCCATGCCGGACCTGAGGAACCGGGCTGTGGTAGGTTAGGCCTATTTTTGTTTTGAATATTCCTAAACTAATAAAAATTAGAAAAAAAAATAAAAAATAACATATAACAACAGAAAATTAACATGATGAATAATAGACAATAAGTCGGAGAAAATTGTGAAAACTTTATTTCATTCCAAATTTAGTGTTTACAAAAAAATTAAAAAATATATATACATTGAAAAAATAATACAATGGAGTTGAATTAATAAAACGATAAATTTGGAGATAAAGATTACAATGGAATTGGATTATTGAAAAATATTACAAATATTTCTCAAATAAAATTCAAAATAGAAAATTACAAGAATATAAAATATATTGTATTTAACACTTTTTCAAGTTTCACGTCCATCATCTACATCAGGTGAACTTTCAATTGAGGTTTTGTGTCTTCCTTTGCATTGTAGGCTATTTTCTGCATCTAGTCAATCTTTTAAGAAGACGCATATCTCCAAAGATTGATCATTCAAGCTGCTCATCTTCTCATCCAAAACCCAATTACTTGCAGAAAAATAAGAATTCGATGCAACTATTGACACCAAAGGGGTTAGCATATCACATGCCATGGCGGAAAGAATTGGATTTTTTTTTTCATTTTCTCTCCACCAGGCTAAAATATCAAATTTGTATGTTTTCTTTGAGCTTAGGTAGTCAAATATACTTGATTGATGCAAATAAAATTGAATTTCACTAAATGATAAACTTGATGAGGTGGTAATTGATTGTTACTTTAATTCCTTTGCTTATTATTGACCAAATTATGTTTTCACCACCACCACTTTCATGTGATGTGGTTGTTGAACTTCTCCTATTTCCTACTGAACTTTGAGATTCATAAATTTCATACATTTAAAATAATAAAGTATTAGCTTCATCTTTTTTGTTCCAATTTGAGATATCATATTTTTATGATAAAGATCAACTAAAATATCTAAACCTAATTTTTTTAATTATAGGGTCAAAAATTCCAGCTAAACAATATAAAGGAGAAATGTTTTTTTCAATTTTCAAAATTTCTTTCCATAATTTCAACAGTATCTTGAAATTGAATCTCTCTACATTTTGAAAAAAAAATATTACTAATTATATATAATTGATTAACTAGTACACATGAAGTGGGTAATAAACTCCTGGAAATAAATAAGTTACATCATAAAAAGTTTGTAAAAAAACTTTTATACAAATTGCAATTTCCTAATCTTCATTAGTTATGTAATCATTTGGCATTTTTTCATTATAAAAAACCTGTTGAAACATCATTACAAGATAAACAACTTCTTAACATAGAATATGTTGGATTTCACCTATGTTGTACATCTAATACAAATCGTTTATACTTTTTTTTTCCAAATTGGTGATATAAATTTTTAAATTCTTGTTTTCTAACCCCTTAAAGTTCTAATATACTTAATAGAATTTCTAACTTTATTAATATGGGGTTAAATAAATTCTAAGGCATCACACATAAATTATTAATACATCACATGCACACCTAATATGAAATAATTTTCTATTAAAAATTGGTTTTAATTGATTTTTTAACATATTTATTGCATAATCATTATTACTAGAATTATCAAAAGTAATAGATTATTTTTTTTTTCAATCTTATATTCATATAAAGTGTTTAAAATACTCCCAGAATTTGTAGTGCTAGTATGTGGCCATTTAAGTCCAATAAAACTTAAAATTCTTTGTTTTCAAATTCCAATGTTGATCAACAAAATGTGTAGTGACACAAATATGACTAATGTTATATTTGGATGTCCATATATAGATGCAAGAGAAATTTTAGAATCTAAATTAAAAAGAGTTGAACTTAAATCTTGTTTATATATCTAAGTAATTTTTAAAGCATCATTTCTAATTGTATTCCTATAAACTTTCCTAAACTGAGGATTAACAAAATATTGCAAAAATTTTTTCTTACCTAGGGTCTTCATAAAACATAAAGTGACATTCAGCATTAAAATCTATTTATATAATTCTTGTCTCATTTTATCTTGGGAATACTAGAAATTACCAAACCTGGAATTTGGAGCAGCAACATTATTGGCATTGATATTTTCGATTTTTTCATACTGAGATTTGGCTTCATCAACAAAATGGAAAGGAGTTTGGGAATTGCTGACCATTGTAATGAAAATTAAAATCTAGAAAAAAATAAAGTTAATCTATTGCTTACTACTCAGTTCAATTACCAATGTCCTTGATTTCAACTTATGAAGCTTTCTAAGCCTCACAAATTGCAATATTTGGTTTGTAGACTTGAGACACTTGAAGCAAACTCTGCATTATTGAAACTTGGATATTAGAATAAAAAATAAAATTGAAAGATTAAGAGAGTATGCGAGTATTTAGATTGTAGAGAGTAATAGAGTATAAGAGTATGTAAGAGAGTATGAGAGTTGTTGTGGTGAGAATGAGGGAGGGTTGGAGTATTTATAGGAATTGGGGGGATTAATTTAATCAAAATACCCTCTAAAACCAGTTGTTTTATGGCTGTTGGAAGGTGTATTTTGGTCAATTTTAGGGGTTACATGTTATTTGACTTATATACCCTCAAAACTAACTGTTATATAGCTATTGGGGGCATTTAAGTCATTTTATGCCTCATGATCCAAAATATATAAATACTCCCTAGTGGTTGTTTATAGTTGTTGAGGGTATTTTAGCTAAAATACCCTAAAAAGACAAATATAGTCATTGCCCCCCCTAACGAGGATGGCAATTTTCCCCATTTTCCTAATCCTTGTGGGGATCCGCCCCGAATTGGGCGGGGATGGGGATGACCCCCCCCCCCCCCACACACACACACAAGGACAGGGGACGAGGGTGGGGAAATTTTTGTCCCCGTTAGAGGGGACGGGGAGAGCACTCCCTACACTGTGAGGACCCTGATCCACGCCAATGGGATACCCGCTTTTATATATGTATATATGTACGAATACGTTTATATATGTATATATGTACACACATGTCTATATGATAATATTTTAAAAATATGGTTGAATATGTTTGAATCTTTTTAATGAGATTATAAATTTTAATTATTTTATTTTTATTTTTTAAATAAAACAAAAAACAAAAACAAAATGGTTGACATTATAACAAATTAGAGGGAATGGCGATCTCCATGGGGATGGAGATGGAGATAACCTGGTCCCCGTTAACAGGGATGGAGATGGGGATTTTCACGGGGACAGGGATGGGGAGAGGCTCCCCGTCCCCACCCTGCCCCATTGCCATTCCTACTAATGGCTATAATTTTGTATGCCAAGCCAGTATCCAGGTCATGCCATGCTGAGTGATTGGGTTGTGCCTTGGCGACTCAGTCCCCTCCATAGCCTAGGCCCAACACAGCCCAATTTCTTGTGCCACTTACTTCCTCTGGCTCAGTTTAGAAAGAATACAAATACAAATATGTATAGCGCAAATACATACAAAATAAAATATAATATAAGATTTTGCACTCTACAAATTTATATTTGTACTCCTTCCGAATGGAGCCTTATGAAATACAAAAAAACACTAAAAGCACATATGACCATCTCTTTTGCAAATGGATGGTCATGTATGACCATCTTGACCATCTTGACCATCTCTCGAATAAAACCCATTCAAGCTACTTTCAGCATTCGGTTCGCCTTTGATTCCTAAACCCCTGCTTGCCGCCTTCACTTTGGTACCATTGTGATGCACTCTTTTTATGATTTTTTTTCGGAATTAAGATAGTATTTGGTACCATATTGTCATTTGAGGCTAAAACATTTAGAGACCCAATGGCATTTCACGTCAAAGCACCAGCATGAAAGTTATTTATTTTTGTTTAATAGGCATTGAATAAGTGGTTTGAGCAATATTATGTTAGTTAGTGCCTTTAAATGAAATGTTTATATTCAATTTGACACCACCATTTCTCATCCAATGGTCAGATTTAAAAATAAATATTTTTTATGATTGGCTCATTATTATACATAGATTAACATATGGAGATCTAGCAATTCTAGAGGCATGAAATCTGATGAGAGGCGATTAATTTGGCCCTCCAATGACGTGTATGTGGTACCTCAAAAAA